AGTACATATATTAATTGTATTATTTTATAATGCTCAAACAAAGAATTTTATAGTAGAATAGATTTATTGGAAAATCTTGAAGCATCATTTATTTTTGAGTTAATATGAACTTATTTTTGAAGAACTAGCTAACTAGAAATTTCAAATATTTGCTTACGTTTATTATGAAAATTTTTAAATAACAATTTTAAAGTTACAAGATAGCTATGATTTTGTAAATATCTTAAAATATCAAAATAAAGTTTTTAAATCTGAAAATTTTATATCTCAAAAAATGTTTTCAAAAATTTATAAAAGTTGACAAGTTTTCAGTACAAATACTTTTTTATTAGATAAGTTTTTAGGATTAGATAATAGATTTGCTCACAAATCTTTTTATTTTATTTATATCAAATCTTTTACAAATTGGTTTAATCAAACTATACATTGATAACTACATATTTAATGCAAGATTGCATATAAACTACAATAGACTATTTTTATAATATACATATTACAAATATACTATTTATGTATAAAGTCATTGATTTATCCGATTAGTGTCTATTATCCAATCATCATGGGTACCACATGCTTATATGATGTTAAGATTGAAATTCAGCTCTTCACAATAAGTATTCCTCGAATATAGTACACAGAGGTTTGATCATCATCATGACAATTATCATTTGTATAATATCCTACAATAACCGGTCATTTGTAAATGACCAGGGTCATTTAATCACTAGGTTATTTGCAATTGCAAATAACTCAATGACAGATGACCCTGATCATTTCATTATCATTTAAGGTTATTTAAAAAACAGTCAAATGACCTGGTTATTTACTAACCCTGATTTGAAAAAAGTAAGTAGGAGTGCTTAGTTATTAAAACTTCGAAATACCAAAAAAGCAGAGAAAAGAAAACTCTTGCACTATTATAACTTGTACTAGGCTAATAAAAATTGTAACAATTGTATAGAGAGTGCTATTTATAATCTGATTTTTTAGAGTAGGGGGGTCTAAAAATTATCAGGTCCTAATAGTAGATAACTTTTGATTAGCTAAAATTTTTTAAAATTTTTAAACTTTAATATTAAATAAAATTTAAACTAATGATCTGTTTTGAATGATTTTACTACCAAAATGTTCGTCTTAATGAGACGATTCCAACAAGCCTAAAATTGTCAAAATCTAATTACTGGATTCTAAAATCATTATAAATTTGTATTGCTTTAATTATATTAGTTTTGTATATATTAAAAATTATTATTAAAGATTTTATAAACTTTAATATTGAATAACTTGCGAACTAGCAATCTGTTTTAAATAATTTTACTACCAAAATGCTCATCCCAGTGAGACGATTCTAATGAACCTAAAATTATTAAATTCTGATTACAAGATCACAGGATCGTTATAGATTTGTGTTATTTTAATATAAAATATATTAAATCAATTAAAAATAATACAAATCTATAACGATCTTGGGATCTCGTAATCAGAATTTAACAATTTTAGATTTATTAGAATTGTTTTACTAAGACGAGCATTAAATCATCTAATACAGATCACTGGTTCACAAGTTATTTAATGTTAAAGTTTATAAGATCTTTTTTTTTTTGGTATTAAGGTAACCTCTTTGGCCAGGGAATGTTTTATTAGATAATTTTGTTTTTCAATTATAGTAAGGGTACATATAGCCACATGTGCACCTTTTGAATGTCTAATTTAAGTAGTCTGCCTGAAGGTTCTACACTATCTGCCGTATCTGTACCCGACTAGGGAAGTACTCATTTAAACCCTCTAACTATAACCTACTTCCAAACCAATGGATATTACCTAACCTGAGGCATAGCTTACTATACACAGGTAGTTTGCTATTGCCCAATCTAATTTTGCACACATCTTAGGACTTACTAACCCCAAAGGGGCTAATCTATTCACAAGGTGAACCTAACAGAGTGGTTCACATCTCACATGTGTATTCACTTGCATGTTCAGTAATTTCTTCCCAACTAGTATATATTGTCTGCCGGCATTGTGTTCGTATCTCATACCACCTTTTGGGATGCTGCTATAATACAATCCGTATCTCAAGTACAACCTTCCTAATTAGTCTTTCATTACGTACTTCTGCCTTTGTATTGGTTCACAACAACCCCAGTACCCACCTCTTTACCCAGATTCTTTATCAGTCTATCTCTTACTTCCAGCCAGCAACCCGGACAGGTTGGTCTGCCCAGGCTTTAGGTGCCTGAATAACGCCCTCCCCTTGGTCTATACTTTCAGAGTATATGACCTTTCCTCCGGTGTGTCTAAACCGGTGGTTCGGCTAGTGTATCTCCTACTAAAGGACCTGATCGCTTAGTTATCAAATCTCGGGCCCCGGTTTAAATTCAGCCTTCATATAGTACTGTTAAAGATCACTGCTACCTCCAAACTTGGAACTTCTTAAACAGGCTCCGATCTCTGGTTCTGTGACCCGTACCGAGCATGGCCCACAAATTACAGCCTTTCGGAATCCTTTCCCTGGCTTCACAGACCGGATCACTAAATCATCCCTGGGCCAACCTAAGTAGGAATCATTGTCTGACATATTTAGTTTTCGCTATTTTCAAAAGCATCTTCTCTGGGATTCGAACCTTGAGGAATATACCATTACTATTTAGTGAGGGTGATGACTAGACCACTTCACTAAGGGTCCCTATCATTTCCCCAACAATCACTTCCTCGACAATCACTTCCCCGACAAAGTTATTTCCCCGACAGACACTTCCCTGACAAACATCTCTCCGACAATCATTTTCCTGACACACTAATTTCCCTGACATTCACTTCCCTGACACGATCATTTCCCCAACATGATCATTTTTTCTAACATTCACTTTCCCAATATTCACTTTCCCAATATGATCATTTTCCCGACACGATTATTTTTTCGATATTCACTTACCTGATATTCACTTCCCCGACATGATTATTTCTCTGACATGATCATTTTCCCGACATGATCATTTCCTCGATACAATCATTTTCCAACAAAAACTTCTTCGACAATCATATTCCTGCCACAATCCTTTCACAAATCCTTCTCCAACAAGATCAATTACCCAATATTTATTTCTTCAACATTCCCTTCTCTAACTTTTCGGCATTATGACCGGAGGAGTCTTTATATGGTCTTGAACTAATTTAGATTCGATCGTAAACAAATGATGATTAAGGTCAAGGGTTTAAATCGATCAACTAACACACATAATTACAAGATAGGGCTTCTCTTTATTATTAACATAAATTAATACATCAAATTATACAAGTAATACTAAATACTATCTTCCCTTTACAGATTGAAACCACACTTTTATATATTCATAAATTAGTCTTAAACTCCCACTAGGAGCTTTAGCTCTCTCCGGGAGCTTTTAACTCCCTCTGGGAGTCATAAGCTCCACTATGCCACGATAATCATTTCCCAGACTATATCCAAATAAGAAATAAATAAAATTAATACTGATAAAATAATAAAATGCTATAAAAGAAAGTTCAAGGCATAACACCAGACAGAAAACTTCTTAAAACCCATTTAGCATATGGGCTGCCGTTAATAGAATTAAGCAGATTGATATTTTAAAAAAAATTAATTACTTAACTTTCACTGCTTATGTCATGATGAATTTTGAGTCTATCCTGATGAGTTAATATTCAAAAGAAAGCTTAAGATCTTAAGCTTTCTTTTGAATATTAATTCATCAAGATAGGCTCAAAATTCATCATGATGATATAAGTAGTGAAAATTAAGTGATTAATTTTTTTTTAAAATATCAATCTGCTTAATTCTCATATTATCGCAGTTTGCAAATTGATGTGCTTTCATTATTTCTTAATTTTCCGAAAGCCATTTTACTGACCAATATCCTGTTTTCCCAATGTCATTATGTTGAACATCCTTTCTTTGATTAATAATGTATTTAACTGAATCGGGTGTAGAATGAGAATTAAAGTGGGAGGATAAGTTAGATAAGTAGATAGATAGATAGGAAGACAAAAGGTTCCTCATCTATCGCTTAGTACTACAACTGACAGCCCATTCATTTAACAGGATACTTTACTGAAAGCTTCTTCATTGAGAAGTCAATTTATTGATAGTCCAATGTCCTGACAAAAGGTTTCTCGTTTTTTTTTTGTTTTTTTTTTTTGTAAAGCCATTTTACCAATATTTAATTTAGCTAAAAGAAAGCTTTGCTAAAATCTTTAATTATGGTCAGCTTTTAGTAAAATTCTTTTTTGATCAAATTTGTAGATTGTTAGATTGTTGCACACCTATACAATCACCTGATTGTTGCCCGATTATAGCAATCTACAAGTTTGATCAAAAGGTAATTCCTTCCAACAATCAGAGTTATCCATATTCTGCAAGCATATTCCATACCTGCTGATTCTTGATAATGAACAAATGTCTCATGTTTATCCTTTCAACACCAATTCTATTAATTAAAAATTATCAAGCGGCTTGATTGGGTATCATCAACAAAATCTTAAATGTTTCATCAGTTTCAACTCTAATTCTATTCTATTATTCATTACCACAGAATTCATTTTTTTCAACCCAAACTCTATGTCAACTTTCTTATTCCACCAGTATTCCATATCTGCCGATTTTTAATAATAAACAAATGTCTCATGTTAATCCTTTCAGCTTTTGACAGGAATAAATATTCTTTTCAACTCAATCAATTATCATTACCTACCTCTACAAATTTCTAATAAATGGCGCCTTATGTTCATCTTTTTCGACCCAAATTCTACGTATAATGATAGCCATGTTATTTCATCAGCTTCATATCTGCTAATTTTTGTTAATGAATATTCATGTTCATCCTTTCAACTCCAATTTCATTATAATAACAACTTCCGATATTAGATGTTACATCAGCGTCTCTTTCATCTCCAATTTTATTCTGGTAACAATTTTCGACAATTAGCATTATCTATTAACGCTAGACTATATCAACACTAATATGGCTGCAAATCGCCAGGCACGAATAATAACAACGTTAATGCGTATAGATCATCTAAACGACAGGGGTGTAACAAATTTATATCAAATAATAGTTTTAAACAGGGTAACAATCAACCCAATCCTCAAGTACCACAGACTGTTGGACAAAATATTATGCCTCAATATCCAATGTCAATTAATAATCCTAATCAGAAAATTGTTAGCCAAAATCCAATATGTATTAATCAAAAATCCTGTTCATAATCCTACTAAAACTTTACCAATCAAATTCAAATGCGATCTAATAATTTTATTCAAAATTTTACTGGTCAAAATCAAATTCTACTTAATAATCTTACTTAAAACTTTCTTTACTGGCCAAATTTAAATACCACTTAATAATTCTATACAAAATTTTACTAGTCAAAATTAAATGTCATCTAATAATCCTACTCGAAACTTTACCAGTCAGAAGGTAGAGACTAATGAGTTTTGAGCTAAAGCTATCAATCTATCTAAAGCAAACACCAATTAATAGAATCAATCGTCTCAGACTTGAAGTATGGAAAGACTTGGTCAGGCTTATGAGTCTTGCTGCGATGCGATTTGAGACCAAGATAAGTATCTTCTTGTGGTCTACTGATATTGTTTATGTCGAATGCTTCTTTTTGATACTAAAAGTAATGCTAAATCTCGTAACTGGTGCGACAGGGTTTTCAATATTCGATATCAATCTTAGCGATTGTCATGTGGTCACGTGGGTACGAAATTATAATTTTGATTGATCAAAAGTATAACAATGGTAAGAATGACGAAATTGATTAAAGTTTATTTTATTTTTGTATAAAAGGAGTCTAATTACTAATCGATGATTTCTCTCTTTACTTTTATGATTCCAAAAATTGCGATTTTTCAAGATATCATGGGGACAAGAAAAAACGAAAATGGCTTTTGTTATTATGTATAAGCCAATGACCAAATTAAATAGCTACTAGAGAACTAATTTTCGAAGTCAAGAACTTAACCGAAGCGACCAAGGTATTGCTTTTATGCTTTTTTCTTACATATTGATAATGTATTTGTTTGCTATCGCTAACTAATTTACTAATTTAGATACGTAATATGTTCAAAAAGTTCAAAAATTATAGTAAATTTGATCAAAAAGCTCACAAAATTCGAAAGGTGCAAAAAGTGCACAAAGTTCACAATCTGCCGAAGTCTAAATCAGGTAAAGATATTCATTTCTGTTTTGGGGCTTTGTTAATTACGTATATACTAGCACTTCGTTGAGCCTTACTATATAGAAAAAAAAAGAAAACCGAAAACAATATAGAAATAAAATAATGATCAAGAAGAAAAGAAAAGAAAAAACAATAAAGTCAAATCCCGGGCCCTTCACACCGTTTAAAATCAAATGCTACATAATAATCTTTTGCTAGCCAAAATTAATATTCCTGCTCAGAATTTTATTAGACAAAATCCAATTCCAACTAATAATCTACTTAGAACTTTGTCACTCAAGTTCCAATGCCTCAAAATGCAATGCCAATTGTAAATGCATAGAATATACTGTAGCTAGTGATGTGCCACGTACAGTACTATACGTACAGTACTGTACATACTGTACATACTGTACGCTAAAATTTTTGCCAATCACTTGTTCTAGCCAATCAGATGCCAGAAAAGAACTATACGTACTGTACATATTGTACGCTAAAATTTTTCAGCCATCATATAAATGACACATCACTAACTGTAGCTATAAATTTTTTCAATAATATAATTTGATATGAGGGGCATTTTTAAATTAATTTATCTGGTGAGTATTCAGTAATTTAGTAATTGAAGTTTTTAAACTTTGAGTATAACAAAACAAAAATCTAGATGTGAAATTTTAAGGTTTCACTATAATGAATTTAGCCTCGAAAGAATTATTAATTTTGCAGTTGAGAAAGTGGTGACTAATAGGTTGAGGTTAATCTAAATAACTATCTAATTCAATACTAGAACTATTCAACTATTATTTCAAGACTCCTAAAACCCGAGGTAGAAGACAAAAGGAGGCGTAGAAAGACTTGGTCCGAGTTTCAAGGCTTCTAGGTCTTGCTGTGGTATAACCGGAGATTAGAATAAGTATACCTTTGCATTTTAATTGTATGGGTTATGTAGGATGACTTAATTTGACATTAAAGAAAGTTCTATTTTTCCAAGTCTTGGTGTACTGGTGTTACAATATTTGGCTTCAACCGTGAACTTTGTTCATAATATCACGTGAGTTACGTGGGTGAAATAGAATCGTGGTATCGGTATTGTAATTAATTTAACAATGACGTTTAATCAATTGTTACAATATATATAATATAGTGATTGCTAATTTCAACA